GTCTTCCAAATCAATACTTTTCTGCAGTGGCCTTATATAGATCAAAGCTTGTCCAATTCCACTCAATGGACTGCGGAGATATCGCACTGTATATCCAGTGTCTGGGCTTGGGATTGTGCACAGGTTACGGCTTCGTGTTGTACCCGAGATTCTCAGCAGTTCAAACCCTCCTGTGTCTTTCAGCTGAGGGAAGGTATCCTCAATCTTTGCCTTGACCACTTCTGGGTCATCATCCCTTCCTGTAAAACACATTACTTGCTGTACATTACTACAAAAATGGTACATATAAGAGTAAAAAAGTAGTTAAACTTAATCTTGAAATATTAACAAATGACATGTAGCATCACCTTGGAATGAAATCCGTTTCTCTCCAAGTCCAGCTGCTGATAGGTCAAATTTGACTGCTTTAGCTGGCACTGTGTCTGACATATGATCATGCAAACAGAAGAAGGTGTGTGTGTAAATGGAGCGGCATGCTTTCTTGGAAGAATGCGAGGTCAGAGATGAAAGTGGCGCTGAGGAAGGCCTCACTCTGTAAGGGGCAAACAGTCTTGCGACTTCAGCTTTAAAAAGGGAAAAACAATATTAAAGAAAACATTCTAAAAGCTTAGATTAATTGCTACTTAATTTGCAAGTATTATACCCGCTTACAAAATCACTACATTGAACTAGAATTGCTTTATTTTCATTCACATAGATTACTTGACTTCCATATTAGCAGAGAAAATAAGACACTTTAAAACGTCATGATTTAACTATTACCTACAACAATGTAAATAGTGATACAGACATTAACCCAGAAGACAATTATCTTCTCTTACTTAATTTATTAAGTTCTTTGCTATGATAAAAACAGTATAAAAAAATTTGTGACTGAACTGATTAAAAAGCTCATTTTTGGCAGACAGACTAACCAAGCAGTAATAACATCGTTACTTACCCTGAACAGCGTTTTGTGGAGTGGAGCTAGCTGTGATAGCGTTAGCGTTTGCTAACGTTAACATTGTGCTGTTTTGATGAGAACTTGGACCAGGCACCGCTTCATCTCCAGTACGCTGCTGCAACACGCTCTCAGACTGAGGTGAAGACGTACAATCTAAGCGGTTAGCAACTTCTCTGAGTAACTCAGAAACGGACTTGTGTCCTGCAGCCATGCCCTTCACAAGCACCTAAACGTTATTCGCGCCCAGTGTTTTACACTTGTTGGTGCCTTTACTTTATTTCGAGCCACTGCCGCCGTCTGCGTAGGAGACGCACTGCACCATTAGACTTAAATCGACACTTCATGTCGATTTAAGACTTATGTCTGAGCAAAGGAGCAACCAATCACACAACTGCCTCCGCCCTGTCTTTCTTGATTGACAGACAAAGTCATTCTGCTGAAAAGTCGCATTATGAAATAAATAGGCCATTGGGAAAAACGGGATTTTGAAATAAAGACTGACTTTGAAAAAAGGACATTTGGATTAAAAACGGCTGGGAATAAATAAAATGCCTCAGGAATAATCTCTGTTATTGTGAAAAATAATGATCATGAAATAATATTTCACAATAATAAGTAAATTTATATAGCAGAATGCAATATATTTCACAATAATGAGCTTTTTTTTCAAAATGTGTTCAATTATTTCACAATATCATTCTCACATTACATATCTGTGTCTTATTTATTCACATAGTTATTTATTTCATCATGACTTATTTATTTATTTAATTTTGAACACTTTGGAGTTCCATAGGATGTATCTCTGCTGACAACACAGCATTACAAACTTGTCTTGATGTAAACGAATAGTACATAATTATTCTGTTCTTACAAATCACAAACCTATTTAGAGTCTTTGAAATTAATGTCCATCAGCATCAGCATGAGCTCTTCATCATGCCACATGTTAGTGAGTGGTATATATCAGAGAGCAAGTGAACATTTAGTCATCAGAGCTGATGTGTTAGAGGGTTAGGGTTAGCAGAAAAAATGTGCAACTCGGTTGGAGCATCTCTAATACTGCAGCTCTTGTGGGATATTCCCAGTCTGCAGTGGTCAGTATCTATCAAAAGTGGTCCAAGGAAGGAACAGTAGTGAACCAGCCAGGGTCACTGGCAACCAAGGCTCACTGCAAGTGGGGAGTGAAGACTGGTCTGCGTGGTCCGACCCAACAGATGAGCTGCTGTAACTCAAACTCTACAAAAGGTTCAAGCTGGTTCGGATTGAAAGGTGTCAGAATACACAATGAATACACAATTTGATAGGTATGGGACTGAATAACTGCAGACCAGTCAGTGCGCCCATGCTGATCCCTGTCGACACCCAAAAGCACCAACAGTGGGAATGTGAGCATCAGAAGTGGACCATGGACCGTGGATGCACTGAGAAGAAGGCAAGTCTGAGTGGTAGTTTGATGCTTTTGGGCAATGTGGGAAACCTTGGGTTTTGCCATCCATGTGGATGCTACTTTGACACGTACCACCTACCTAAGCATTGCTGCAGACCAAGCACACCCTTTCATGGTAACGGTATTCCCTGATTGCTGTGGCCTTTTTCAGCAGGATAATGCGCTCGGCCACAAGGCAAAGAATAGTACAGGAATAGTTTGAGGAGCACAACATTTAGTTTGAGGTGTTGACTTTCCCAGATCTCAATCCAATCAAGCATTTGTGGGATCTGCTGGACAAACACATCTGATCCACTGAGACCCCACCTCACATCTTAGAGCAGAGGTCCCCAGCCCCCGGGCCATGGACCGGTACCGGTCCGTGAGTCGTTTGGTGCAGGACCACGAGAGTTGAGGCTCGGGTGTGAAATTTATGGTTTTCAGGGTTTTTATCGTTAACTCTGTTTCCCTGGGTCTTTTCCCGTGTCTTATGAATAAATCATCTTTTTTTTTGGTACCGGTACTGGTTTTACTTTGTTGTATTTATCCACGACACCTTAAAGGCCGGTCCGTGAAAATATTGTCCGACATCAACCGGTCCATGGCGCAAAAAAGGTAGGGGACCGCTGCTCTTAGAGGACTTAAAGGATCTATTTCTAGCATCTTGGTGTCAGATACCACAGGACACCTTCAGTGGTCTAGTGGAGCCCATGCCTAGACGGGTCAGGGCTGTTTTGGCAGCAAAAAGGGGACCAACACAATATTAAGCAGGTGGTCATAATGTTATGCCTGGCTGGTGTATCGTCTTTAATAATTGTGTCCTTTGAGCTTGTCAAATATTTGTTCTGTCTCTAAATCCATGGCTGTGATGAATATTTACATTAAAGTTTGTGTAGAAAATGAGATGTTACAGGCAAACACAAAACATCAATGCAACAAATGCAGGATTTTGCAGAAGCTTTCAGTCTACTGTTAAAGTTATTATCACCGAACATGAGGAAAAAAAAAGTTCCAGTGTGCACAATGCATGCAGACATTTCTTCATTTTAGCCGTGTATTCTCTGTAAATGATCCTCTATTTTATTAGCACACGCCTACTTGTGGTTTAATGTAGCTGAGATATTAATGCCAGTCATCTTTATTAAATTCTGCATATAGCACTTCTGGGGGATAAACTGAACCTGGTATGTCTGAGATGTAAAAACAAAAATAAACCAATATAAAACAGACCTTATTTTGTTATTATTAAATTTAAGAGACTTGCTTCACAAACATTGTGAAGTGTCTGTGGTGAACACTTGATTGGAAAAGTTAGTAAGTCTTTTTACTTAATTTCATGCAAAAATATGTGTTTGTGCACATGCTTGCTGAGCATTACTGTGAGCATGTGAAGAAATCAGACATAATACTCCTTCCGTTCTGTGTGTACCTGACGTGCCGGATGTGGGAGAGCAGCATGGTGAGATGGCCAAGGCGCAGAGTCTGCTGCTGGGTGGATAGGCCCAGTTTGGAGATGGCCCAGACCAGCGCATCGATCACAGAATCCAGGAGATGCAGCAGTTTGTTCCTGCTTTCCAGCTCTTCTGGAGTCTGCGGGGAGCTCGTGCACAGACCTGTGAAAAACAGCACAGCTACGTGTCATTACTGAGACCACTGATCCTTTTTTAAAGACGTGCCCATTAGTTACCCATGACCATAAAAGTTTAGATGCTGTTTGAGACGTAAATAGAAGCAGAATTCAATAACATACACATCATTTATACTCTATATACTTATAGAGAAAACATATGAATAGGTTAAAACTGAGAAATCAGATGTGGCACGTTTGAATTTGACAACAGCAATATATTTAAAATTGCTGGGACAGCAACATATTTTTGTCATTGCATTACAACAACACTGCAAAAGTGTGCAACTCATCATATTTCCCATTTCATAATGCAACAAATGTTTTAACTGGGTCACTGGTCTGGATTGCAAGCTGTCCAGTACTGAATATCTTAGCTTTCTTGAGTGAGTACATGTACTGTCACAATTATACCAAGGATAATGTTCATTCAGCATTCAGCACTAACCCGTTTGTAAAAACTGATCTGTACCGTCTGAATCCTATTGATACTATATATATCATCCTCACCTCTTTGCATATAATCATTATTACTGAACTCTGGCTCTCATCCATAGTGTGTCTTTGCACTGTTTCCCTGCTTCACGCCCAATTTGTGGCAGCAGATGGCCACCCCAAGCCTGAGCCCCCTGAGCCTGGTTCTGCTGGAAGTTTCTTCCTGCTAAAAGAGAGTTTTTCCTTCCCACTGTCACCAAGTGCTCGCTCGTAGGGGGCCATGTGATTGTTGGGGATTTCTCTGCAGTAAAGTAGGATCTTTACCTTACAATATAAAGAACCTTGAGGTGACTGTTGATGTTGTGATTTGGATATACTGAATATAGTAATTCTTTGATCTTGTTAGTTATTTATCTACACCGTCTTTCACATGCTGGTGAACCCTCAACTCATCTTTACTCCAGGACTAGTATTCAGCCTGTGAGATCATTTCTTTGCAATCAGCCATTTAACATGTTCTTTTTAAGCATACCTTCTGTTGCCTTGCCCATCATTATGTGTACCAGAATTAATGCACTTAAAAAACATCACATCTTACTTAATAATCTATACATATCATTTCCCTGATTATATTCACGCATATATGCACACACACACCTGAACCATGGAATCTGTGAGTGTATAAACTTCTTGACTTGCAGGGAAATAATAATAAAGCTTAAATTAGATCCAGCGATCGCAACTGAAAACATGGTTTCAACAACAGTGAGACTGACACTGACAAAACATTCCAAGATTAATAATAGCCTGGTAATAATCCACTCATTATCTCATCTTTGAATAAAACACGTAACCTGGTGTTCTTTGGTATAAATTGTTGCATGACATTCTACATCCTGATTCAGGACTCTGTAACCAATTTAACCTAAGCTGTGACATTTATGAGTTCGTACAGTTTCTTCAGTCAGGCCATCTGGCTCATCAAAGAGCCCGAATGACATCATGATGGACGCTCTTGATGAAAAACTAGAGGATGGAAGAGAGAAGGAGCTGTAGATCAACTAGTGTCCGCCCACCAACAGGACAGAGGATGGATGGAGCAGCTCAGTTACAACTTTCCATCTGTCAAGATTCATTAATCTTCTCGACTCCTTCTTTTCCTTGACTTTTCAGACTTGCTTTCGCTTCTTGCACAATTTGCCCTTTTTTTACTCCAGCTGCAGTGGAGCAGAGTTAAAAGAGAGAACATAGTCTGGCAGAGGATCTTATGTGTACGTGAGGGAGGAAACTTTGTTAAACATGTGGAGAGGTCGGTCACCTCGATGGAACCTGCCTGCAGCGTCTGTTGGAGGTGGTTTGTAGAGTACTGAGAGGACACTGTGACCACTGGAAAAACATTAAAGGTGAAAAAACGAAAGCCGCCCTGCAATAAGGTCCAAATTCACAGGTCACTTCATTATCACACCTTCTTCAAATAACATCTGCCAATGCAACTTCTGTGGGACGGTCACCGTCATGTTGATTTTAAAAGCCACATCAAGGACTGGTGTAGTGTAACTCTGCTCTACAACGCTTTAAGGGGGTTATTTATTGTACGAGCGTTGGGAAAATTCTATAAACCTTAAACAAATGAAATGCTAGGAAACTTCAGAGGACTGTGAGTGTACTCTTCTTCCATGACCAAAATAAATAAATAAACAAACTAATAAATTATTTCGTAATCTAGAAATCTGGACACTGAACTGTACGTGTTGTTCCTGGCTTGGGAATGCCTCAGGATTGCCCTGGATAAGCTGGAGGAGGGGGCTAGGAAGAGGGAAGTCTGGGCCTCTCTGCTCAGGCTCCTGCTCCTACAACCCAGCCACAGATAATCAGAAGAAAAAGGATGGATGAATGGAAAATTAGAAGCACAAGACTGCATCATTAAGACTGGAAATCAGCCATTTCAAGGAGTAGTGCAGAAACGAAAATCATAGCAGGAAAATAACTATGATTTATGTTTCTTTAATAATAACTGGGTCTGATGGGTACTAGAGAGTATTGCTTTGACAGTCAAATATTTGGGTGTAAGTTAAGAAGCACACTTTAAACAGATACTGACATGTGTAGTCTTTAGTTTGGTACTTTTATACTCACTAAAAAACCTTTACTTGAAGTATGAGTACCCCAAAAGTGTGTGTGTGTGCACATGTGTGAGGGATTATGTCAGAACTAAAAAGAACAAAAAACCAAAAACACCACAAATGGCGCACTGATTGGATGAGGTGGAACAGCGTATTTGCTTATTGAAACCTCATTCCAAAATTCTTCCCCATCCTGTGGTTTTATGTGCGTCAGTAACACTCACTGGAGTTGAGGAGGATCATGGCCTTCAGGCAGACGTACTCCTCTCTCTGCAGCTTCAGCTCACGGAACCGAGAGGTGGCTGCCAGCAGCATGTCGAAAATCTCCATGATGCCCTCCACACACTGTCCCTCCTCCCTAAACAGACAGAAAGAGAAGAAGTGAAGAAAAACAAGATGGAGTGGAGTGAACAAAAAGATAAGAAAGGGGAAAGAGGCAGCAACGAGAACCAAGATAAACTGAACGTGCTGAAAGAAATTTCTATTACTTTGTGCGTCCCATTTATATCAACTCTTGTAGGCTAAAAAAGTTTATTATGGTGCCTGAAAACCATAATAATATGATGGAAAAAAAAAATCAATTTCAGCTGCAATTTTGATGAACCAGAGGATTGCAGTGTCAGCACACAAGTGCTAGTGGTACATTTTAAGACATTTTAGCCTGGTGGCAGTTGTGCCCTGCAACCTGCTTTGCAACCCACTTCTTCCATTCCCTGCTATACAGTGGGGCAAAAAAGTATTTAGTCAGCCACCGATTGTGCAAGTTCCCCCACTTAAAATGATGACAGAGGTCAGTAATTTGCACCAGAGGTACACTTCAACTGTGAGAGACAGAATGTGAAAAAAAAATCCATGAATCCACATGGTAGGATTTGTAAAGAATTTATTCGTAAATCAGGGTGGAAAATAAGTATTTGGTCAATAACAAAAATACAACTCAATACTTTGTAACATAACCTTTGTTGGCAATAACAGGTCAAACGTTTACTATAGGTCTTTACCAGGTTTGCACACACAGTAGCTGGTATTTTGGCCCATTCCTCCATGCAGATCTTCTCGAGAGCAGTGATGTTTTGGGGCTGTCGCCGAGCAACACGGACTTTCAACTCCCGCCACAGATTTTCTATGGGGTTGAGGTCTGGAGACTGGCTAGGCCACTCCAGGACTTTCAAATGCTTCTTACGGAGCCACTCCTTTGTTGCCCGGGCGGTGTGTTTTGGATCATTGTCATGTTGGAAGACCCAGCCTCGTTTCATCTTCAAAGTTCTCACTGATGGAAGGAGGTTTTGGCTCAAAATCTCACGATACATGGCCCCATTCATTCTGTCCTTAACACGGATCAGTCGTCCTGTCCCCTTGGCAGAAAAACAGCCCCATAGCATGATGTTTCCACCCCCATGCTTCACAGTAGGTATGGTGTTCTTGGGATGCAACTCAGTATTCTTCTTCCTCCAAACACGACGAGTTGAGTTTATACCAAAAAGTTCTACTTTGGTTTCATCTGACCACATGACATTCTCCCAATCCTCTGCTGTATCATCCATGTGCTCTCTGGCAAACTTCAGACGAGGCCTGGACATGCACTGGCTTCAGCAGCGGAACACGTCTGGCACTGCGGGATTTGATTCCCTGCCGTTGTAGTGTGTTACTGATGGTGACCTTTGTTACTTTGGTCCCAGCTCTCTGCAGGTCATTCACCAGGTCCCCCCGTGTGGTTCTGGGATCTTTGCTCACCGTTCTCATGATCATTTTGACCCCACGGGATGAGATCTTGCGTGGAGCCCCAGATCGGGGAGATTATCAGTGGTCTTGTATGTCTTCCATTTTCTGATGATTGCTCCCACAGTTGATTTTTTCACACCAAGCTGCTTGCCTATTGTAGATTCACTCTTCCCAGTCTGGTGCAGGTCTACAATACTTTTCCTGGTGTCCTTCGAAAGCTCTTTGGTCTTGGCCATGGCGGAGTTTGGAGTCTGACTGTTTGAGGCTGTGGACAGGTGTCTTTTATACAGATGATGAGTTCAAACAGGTGCCATTCATACAGGTAACGAGTGGGGGACAGAAAAGCTTCTTACAGAAGACGTTACAGGTCTGTGAGAGCCAGAGATTTTCCTTGTTTGAGGTGACCAAATACTTATTTTCCACCCTGATTTACGAATAAATTCTTTACAAATCCTACCATGTGGATTCATGGATTTTTTTTTCACATTCTGTCTCTCACAGTTGAAGTGTACCTCTGGTGCAAATTACTGACCTCTGTCATCATTTTAGGTGGGGGAACTTGCACAATCGGTGGCTGACTAAATACTTTTTTGCCCCACTGTATAGTAAATGGTAAATGGCCTGTATTTATATAGCGCTTTACTAGTCCCTAACGACCCCAAAGCGCTTTACATATCCAGTCATCCACCCATTCACACACTGGTGATGGCAAGCTACATTGTAGCCACAGCCACCCTGGGGCGCACTGACAGAGGCGAGGCTGCCGGACACTGGCGCCACCGGGCCCTCTGACCACCACCAGTTATATGACTTACTCAGTGTCATAAATCAGAAAGGGCTTAGAGGTTCCAGAACAGAGCTTTACCTTTTGACATAATAAAACAAACTATAGTCATGAATGGGAAAATTGGGTATTAAAACCTCATCAGCTAACAACTTCCTATTGGTAATCCACATATTAGCAACCATCCATGAAGAAATTCAAGCCAAATACTGATGAATGTGTAAGAGAGAGCAGAAAGAGGTCAGAAAAGCAGAAAGAAAGACTTGATAAGACAAAATAAATTAGAAAATGACTCAATGGGCCGGTGGATGGATTTGCATCCAGGATGTTATCCTCATCTTTCCAAGGAGAAAGGCTGACAGGAACCTTACAGAGAAAAATAAGGCCGTGTTATGAAAACACATCAAGGCTAGCCTAAGCCTATAGTGATAGTTTCCGTGGCAGTGAAGAAAGAAAGGTCAAACACTGAACTCAACCCACCATTTCCCTCGTATAAATTTGCTCCTACCCTCAGCTCCTTCTGCATTTGCCTTTTTCACAAAAAATGTAGCATTTAGCTGTCTGACTACATACTGCTTCAAAGTAGTACAAAAATAAGGGAATTACATACACAAGAAAGTGGGACAAAGGGGAAAACTCAGGGTAAACAGCAATTGGTAAAGTCCTGTGAGACTAAACAAGAGATGAAACATCTTATAGCATCTACAGCATGCAGTCTGAAATATGAAGGCCTCCATATGATGGAGTCTAAAATGTACAAGTTATCAGAACTTAGTGGCTCTGCTGCATTATCAACTTTAGAAAACTAAAGTCTGAAGTCTATTTTTGTCTTTTGAGAATTTTTGCCCTTTAGCAAAAAATATGACGAACTTTCCCTAACCCCCTAACCCATCCCAGTTTATAATCTAACAAGTTCTGAATGTTGCACAAGGTCAGTGTCCACAGCAGAAATGTATGTGCCAGTTTGTTTGACATCTGCATCAAGGAGAAATACTTTAGAAATGCAATTATTTGTATCCTGTAGGCACCATGATTGTGGTCAACCCGCTCACTGGATTTTGGTGCATGTACTTTGTGTGAAAGTGAAAATCTGGGAAGGGAGAGAAGCAGCTAGATCCCAGCACACCAGTGACATGAGTGGATCAGACACAGCGTGGGAGGTATAGCTGGGTCGGTGATGGGTTGCAAAGTGGCATGCAGTTCACAGCAACAGTAGGTATTGTTGAGAAACTTAAAGAGCCTCATATAAGATTTGCCATGCTGAGAACACTGTTGAAAACCTTTCTCCAAGTTTAGCCATTAGGATATCCCTGCTGCCCAATTACAGTGTGTTTACTACGAATACAAAGGCTATTCAGCATTGGCAGATACAAACAACAGTTCTCGGGACAAATTCGAAGGTCTGTGTGGAAGGGAACAGCAGGAGATAAAAGACTGCGTTGGCAGTCCAGAGAAATCTCAGATGAATCTGGAACAAATGTTCGTGATGTGTATGTGTGTTGTGGATGACCTGTTTTATCGTGTGATGTCAATTTGTCATCATTGTGAAAAAACCTGGGGAGCTCAAACCAGCAATAATGTTGTGGCAGTTGCAGATATTTCTTATTCAGACATATTTTACCTTTTTACATTATTTTATGTGGGTGAGACAACAAAAGCACTTAAGAACATCTCAAAAAGATCTAAACTGAGAGTATTATGACATATATCAGGAAGAAACACAGAAACAGAAGCTGAGTGGGTTTTTGAGCAAACACTCTCTGTAAGCTAAAGTCTCTGTGGAATAGCAGAAACAAGTATTTGTCGCTCTGTAAACCTGCTAAACGTTAGCTGATGACCAACTTCATAAAAGATTTTCAACGCAATGGGATCACATTAGTTTTAATGCAATAAGTGCTAATCCCTCTCACCTGCTGAGTTTGACATCTGGAGAGAAGATTAGTTTTCCAGGATGATCCACCGACCTCCACATCAAGCCCAGCATGAGGATCTCCAACCAGCAGCACTTCAGCAGGTGGATTTGGTCTGTTAGACTCAACTCTACAAAGCCTGAGGAGAGGAGAAAAAAAGGCCTCTTTACACTTGGAAACCACCCACATTCTGCCTTCATGGAATTATGAGCACAAAACCCTAATCTATCCCAAATTGCACAATTGGAATCAGCACTTATTCACACATTCTTTTAGTTGTACGCCCAGATCCACCAGTCAAGTTAGAGCTTGATTACATGTCTGTGCAGACTATTAATAGTATGCATTACTGCAGTATGGGGTCACTTTGAGATGTATTTGTGTTTGAAAGAAAAGCAGCTTTGTTTTTATGTGAAATAACATTAAACTGATCATAAATGTTCTATATAACAATGATTCATCGGGGGAATCATTTCTTCATCACTCCTGTGTTTCATTGGCTCACTGCCTTATCCAGTGCAACATGATGTTCAACAAGACAGGAAATATGGTGAAAGAGCAGTAAAGGGTTCAGGCCAGCCTGGAATTAGACCAGAAACACTCACTGCTTGGAAGATTTTGTGGCCATCTGGTAATGTGTCTTAGCCAGCCAATCTATCAGGGCTCCCTGACCGTTGATATAGACACTGTTGCAAGGAACTTCTTTCTGTTGTATGACTACATAGAGCTCTACCCAGAAACAGAGAGAAATGCACAGGGGTGATGCAGGACATCTGTAACTTTGTAACAGACTGTTGCACAACCGGTGCCTCAGTGCCAAACATGTCAACAGACGGAGCTACTTTGATGGGGATTCTTTGATTGAATCTGGCCTCAAAAGTGGGTCAGCTAACACAGGTGACACCAGAGAGTCACATGACACTGACAGCCTTCCTGTTTTATTTATGTCTGAATGATTACAGCTCACATGTCACCACCATTCATTAAACTTGATTTAATCCTTTAGTGCAAAAGAAAAACAGGATCAATCATGAAAAGCAACTTTATGGAAGGAACCAACACTGATACTAACATCAGATCAGGCTGCTACATTTATTTGCACTCATCTGGCTTTTTTTTCACTATTTGCTTTTAAAAAATATTTGGACCTCTAACTTCTTTTCAGCAATTCAATTTTAAAAAGGTTTATTAAATATGAGAAAATGAAATATGTCATTTACCAGTATTTGGATTCTTGGTAGAAGTCCCTTTGAGGCCTCTTGGGTAAGTTTCTACAACTAGATTTGCCCATTGATTGTTCCTTTGGATCACTGTCTGACTGGATATGAAGTGCATAGTATTGTCTTCAGGTGTTTCTGTAGCTATTCTGTGTGGATTACTTGGTTGCTTTAACTAAGCTACTGAAGAACAGTAAGACTTTTTACTCGAGGCTAGCTTGGCTGCGTGTATGTTGGCTTACTGTCATATGGATCTCCTTTTATTTAAGGCGCTTCTGTCCAGGTAACTGCTTTCTACTTAATGTTCTGAGAAGTCTTGCTGTACCTGCTACTGTGAAGCAGCCACGCTACTATCATGTTTCACTGCAGGGATGGTATTAGCAGATGATGAGGAGTGCCTGGTGTTTAACAGGCAGTGCTTAGAGCAGGGGTGGCAAACATAAGACCTGGGGGCTGGAATTGTACCGGCAAAGACTCCAATCTGGCCCACTTGACAGCTTTAGAAAATGTGAATGAGTGGATAGATTTAGAACTTTGAACTGTATTTTCATAAACGTTAGAGCTTTTTCTATTGATAAATACCCCACTGCCCACTGCCACTGCCACTGGACTGAAGTATCTTCATGTCATAATATATTGTTTAGTTTTTATAAAGCTCAAGAAAACTTTCCTGTGCCTTTTACCATGCTTTAGAATAAAGGCCTGATTGACAGAGAGATGGTTTCCTACAAAGAGAAGCTGCTCTTCTAAAGCCTTGCTCAAGTCTTATCTTCCTGACCCCTTTCTGCTTGGTTACTTCAGTGACAAATTGTGGCAAACTGCTGGTTTTAAATTTCATTCCATCTTAAATCAACCTGGACCTTCTGCTCAAACATCTCTGATTTGCGTAAAAACTTTTGTGGTCTTTTGTGTGGACACATGGAGTGATTTCTGTGAAATGTTTTGTTTTTGTCATAGTCCGCGGCCTGGTGCCTGAGGAGCGGATGGGATGCCCACGCCTACGGGTGTGGCTGTCGTCTCCACACCTGCATCCCATTCCAGGCGATCGTCAGGAGGACTATTTAACCCCACACGGCCGGCTGCTCCACGCCGGTCCGTTAGTCACCATTCAGCGTTAATTTGGCCCTCACGTGAAGGTGGATATGGAATCTCTGGTTTCTTTTGAACTATGTTTATTCTTCTACTGTGTGCCCAAGTTATTGTTCGCCGTGTTTGAGCGTACACCTGCCTGTCCTGCACGCCTGGAGTTCAGATTAGCCACCGGTCATCATCTCCTCCGCCTTCCTGGAGCCCTCTCCCGCGGACCCTCACCCCTCCCTCCAGTTCCCACGGCCCAGCCCTGATTGTAAGATAAATAGCTCTGCCCCGTTGTATGCTGTTATCTCCCTGCTCCGCAGTAACTCTCTTCCCTTCTCTGTTGCAGCCTCCCACGGTCCCGATCATGGCGTTCCCGAGTTGTTATCTCTCGGTCCTTTGGTTCTAATATTAACACTGCGTGTTTTCCTTTGATCATTCCGGGACACCCTTAGTTTGAGAAATAAAAGTTATTCTGCGTGCATCCCGGCGTATTGTGCTTGCTTCTAGGTCCAGCTTGCGTGCTAGAACTACGGTTCTTGACAGTTTTACATATTGAACATTTTTCAGGATGTATAATTTTTGAAATACGGTCCATGTATCTGCCAATGAATGTAGATCCACTTTCACCATTTTTTTTAACCTTCAAATTTGAGGAAATGTTTAAACATGAATATTTCAAATACTCATTAAGATAAAAGGCTGGTATTTTCAGTGGCGTTTCTTACCATCAAAATGAATCATGACCTGTAATTTGGATTACAGGTCACCTACTACCACCTGTAGCTCAGGTGGTAGTAGGTGACCACCTGAGCTACAGCCACCCCAAACACACTATAATAATCTCATATTGCAAAAGATCACTACAGACAATTTCAGAATGGCAATTGAATCTTACAATATTGCAAAATAAAGAATGTAGAACATTTTTTAACACAAAATTCTTTGTAACAAAAAGGAAAAATGTATGACTGAGTAGAATTAAAGAAAAGAAAAACATTTACTTAGCAGTACTTGTGTGAAAGAGTTACATACAGACTGAACTGAGTAGCTTGGATCTTACCAGGGATCTTCTTGGCCCAGCTGATCATGAGAACCAGTTCCTTGTCTGCCAGGTTGGTGAGGGTCATCATCATGCTGGTCTCAGTGAACGGCTTTTTCAGGTCCTCCATGAGGTAGATCTCTGGCGGCTCTGCCTCCATGATTCGGGAAATGAACTCCTCTGGGTTCATGGTTGAGTGATGCATGTGATTTGCGTGAGTGTGGACAGAGGCGTCTTCAGGTGTCCCCAGGTGAAGTTGCCGTTGACCCCGAGAACCCAGTCCAACCCTTACCAAACTCTGACCTGTCGTATCCCGAGGCTGGGGTCCACCGCGACGGTGTCGGGCACCACGAAAGCCACAACGTTCACGCCTCACCCCTGGTGAATGAAGACAACAGACAGTTGCCGAATTACCTGCAACTCCTTTACACTTCGTGTGAGAAAAAGCTTGTGCTTTATGCAATAGAAGGAAATATATGTTTTTAACAATCTAATAAGAACAAAAAAAACTGGATCTATCTGAGCATTAGCAGACACTATGACCAGTCTACTGATAAGAAGAGCAAAGGCATTTATAAACACAATGCTTCATATGTCAAAGAGCAATCCCAGCTGCAGTTTAACACACCAAGGTTAGCCCAGAATCACAGAGCAGGCAACAGAATGGAATGTGCTGATCATAAGAAACACTAAAGGCCCAAAGAAACACTATTTGCATGTGTCACAGAAATAATTAAAAGTATTTAGATGATTCTTACAGTCAGTGGAAGGAAGACTTGTCCTGCGTGCTTTTCAAGAAAGCTCAAAAGGTCTAATGAGCTCACAGACCTATTAACTGAGTCAATTTTAGCTCTGCTGTAAGACATGAAATCATGAAATATCCCAATTCTAATGAAGATGAGTAAAAACCCACCGCACTTCATCATGCCCACTTCATAGCATTTACGTAGCCGGCAGGCTTGGCAGCTTTTACGCCGGTTCTTGTCAATAGTGCACTGATTTGTGGCAGGGCAAATGTAATCATTGTGTCCTAATAAAAGAAGAAAACACAGTAATGGATTATTTCAGCTGATGAGAAGAAAAATTGTGAGTAAATATAAAGTAAAAAGGTCATACCTTGGATGCTTCTCTTGAAAAAAGCCTTGCAGCCCTCGCAGGACCACACACCGTAGTGATAGCCGGAGGCGTAGTCGTGGCACACGGCGCAGAAGTGCATGTCGGCTTTCCCTAGCGCAGATGAGCACGATGAGGATTTCACTCCTTCCGCTCCTTCAGATTTCTTTCCCAGCAGCTTGTTACAGCTGATGATGGAGCTGCAGAGGGGAAGCGAAGAATCGTTGAAAGGGACAGCTTGACATTAGAAATTTTAGCCCGTCATTCACCTGTCATTAGCTGTCCAACAGGTACTGTGTTGCTGAAAACCTCTCCATAACAGCATTTAAGTCAACTGGAAAAATCGCATCACAGATAGTATTTATCGATGCAACACGATGAGTGCCATCATAACCATTAACTGCTCACATTAATCAACAAATATAGAGGAGAACTGAAGACACAAAAGAAACAGAAATTAATTTTATAATTAATAAAAAAATATTGCTATCATCTTTTAGCTTAATTGCTATTTTAAACACTGATATCAGAATTTACTAGAATACGAACATACAATGAATTACTACACAACCAAGTGTAACATATTCCGCACATTTGTAACAGCCACCCTTCTGTGCAGACAGGAAGGGACGACGACCCACAGGAGCTTGTTTTTCTGTTCTTATTTGGTGTCCATAGCAGGTGTCTAACTGGCTGTGGTTACAAGAGCGATGAACTTTAGTTACATATAGAACAATTATGATCTGTGAAATCTTTCTTTTTTATGGTGGCACTAGATTAGTCTTGTTTGGGTTCCCCCTTTCCGAGGGCTGTACAACAAAGGAGGTTAAATTAGTTCCCGAGTTATGTTAAGCTTAAATTCAGATTTGTCACCGTCACAGAGGTGGCTCGCTTTTAGCCGCGGTAACTTGGCCAAACACATGACCTGATCTGGAGAAGAGATTAGAGATCTGATTCAAAATCAGCTAGAAGTTGTGTGATGCAGAAAATGTGAAAAGTATTGCCACTTTTTTGGATATTTGTCACACTTGCATGTTTCACATTATTCAGTTATCTTTGTCTGTATTGGTTTTGTCTGTATTGGTCTGTAAAATGGTTTTTAAATGGCAATTTCATTTATTGAGGGAAGAAATCTAACCAAACCTCACTAGTAAAAGTAATGAATGGAAAACAAAGTCCCATCTATCACTATAAAAAAGTTACAAAGCCATTTCTAGGACTTTGGGACTCCAGAGAACCACAATGAGACCCATTATCCACAAATGGAGAGAACTTGTAATGGTGGTCCAGATATGGCTGGCCTACCAAAATTATCTAAAAAATGCACAGACGAGTCATCCAGTAGTTCACAAAGCAACTCAGAACACAGTCCTTATTTGTCTCACTTAAGGCTAGTTTTCACGATTCAGCATCAAAAAAGAGGCTGGGCAAAAATGGCATCCATGAGTTCTAACGTCCTAGGACCTGGCGTCCACATATGTGGACATCACATTTTGGGTTATTTAGACCAAAATACTCAATTTTGCTCTGCAAGGGCTTGATATCCACTTATGAGGACATTATACTGCTACTGTTCTATCAAATGTTTAAACGAATATCCTCATTTGTGGCTCTCATTTTTCTTAGAAACAAAAAACCGTTAAAAAAAAAAAAAAATCTAGTATTCTTTGTTTTTATATTCATCGGGTCCCAATCAGCCCAAATATCAAAGAGAAATGAAAAATGCATGCCGTGGAAGAGCTCGGGTCTTAGGAGGTTAAGGCGAAACCCACAGTTGGACACTCCCCGCCCCTATATTTGCCCAAATGTCATCTGGTGAGTGATGAGACAAAAGCTGAACTTTTTGGAATATTTGGAAGGTAAATTTGGCGTAAAATGAACGCGAAAAATATACTGACAGTCAAACATGTTGGTCGTACTCTGATGGTTTGGGGCAGCTTTCTTGATTGGACCAGTTGCTGTAAGGGAGGAAACCATGAATTCTGCTCTACCATCATTGTGTCCTAAAGTTGAAGCACATTTGTAGCAGGACAACTGACACGGACTAGAAAGACGAACCATATTTCTCTGATATTGGCTTCTCTTCTTTGAATGCAAAATTGACTTTAAAATACTTCTGCTCACATACAAGGGCTTGAATAATCAGGTGCACTCCTGTCTTTAAGACTTCATACTAACATATCAACCGAATAGCACACTTTGCTCTCAGACTGCAGGCTTACTTGTGGTTCCTGAACATTTAAAAGTAGAATGGTAGGCAAAGCCTTCAGCTTTCAGGCCCCTGTTTATGTGAAACCAGTTCCCAGTTTGGAGTCTTCACTTTTAAGATGAGCCTTAAAATGTTTCAATAAAGCTTATAGATAGGAGTAGATTAGATGACCCTCCCTTAGTTAAACTGCAATAGGTCTAGGCTGCTGGAGGGATGTACTGTTTCTTCTTTACTTACCAGTTGTTGATTCTGTGTCTTTATCTATGACTTTGCATTGAATCATTAGCTGTTATTAATATCTACTCACTTCCATAGCTTGTCTTTTGTTCTGTCTCCCTTGCCTAACCACCAACTGGTCGCAGCAGATGGCTGCCCATCCCTGAGGGTGGTTCTGCCGGAGGTTTGTTCTTGTTAAAATGGAATTTATCTTTTTTTGGTCATAGGCGATTATTTGGAGTGGCCTAGTCAAAGTCTGGACTTAAATCCGATTGAGGCAGAATGTTAAACAGGCCAAGCTCAAAATTATGTGTGGCTGAATTAAAACAATTCTGCAAATAAGTAATGTGAAAGACTCACTGCCAGTTATTGCAAATGCTTAATTGCAGTTCTTCCCGCCAAGGGTGGCACAACCAGTTGAGAGGTTATGGGGGCAATTGCTTTTTTACATGGAGTTTTACATGAAATGTTTACTTTGCTTATCTTTGGCTAATATTAAAATTTGTTTCATGATCTGTGTGGCAAATAATACTATTTTTAGTGTCTAAAAATAGTATTAAATAGTATTAAAAATAGTAGCTCGTCAATAGCTTCAATGCTAACATGTTAAATGTAATGGACACTATTGCTCCCATTAAGGTGAAGGTTATCTCTGGAAGGAAAAAGTCTCCATGGAGAAACTCCACACTAGTGAAAAATGAAAAAAGAGAGTGTAGGAAAGCTGAGCGCAGATGGAGAAAAACAAACCTCCAGGTTCATTATGACATCTATAAAGAGAAACTTCACAATTATAATTTACAACTGAGGAGTGCAAGAAGGTCCTACTTCTCTGACATCATCACTAAAAACAGCCATAATGCTCGGGTCTTATTTTCTACAGTTGACAGGCTAACAAACCCTCCTGTGTCAGTGGCAGCTGAACTTCATTCGACCATGGCCTGCAATGACTTTGCCAAATTCTTCACAGAAAAAATCCAAAAAATTAGACAAGCAATTGGTACATCAACAGCAGATCCAGGATATGTACTGTGTCCACCGAAAAACTGTTTAAACACCATGAAACAGTTTCACCCTATTAACAGCAAAGACCTGGAGGACATCTTAGGTCAACTGAACTCCTCCTCCTGCTGTTTAGATGTCCTGCCAACAAGTTTTTTCAAAAAGGTCTCAAAGACTTTAGAGTCAGACCTGTTACAGATCGTCAACTTTTCTTTAATATCAGGTGTGTTTCCAGAACCACTAAAAACTGCTGTAATAAAACCTATACTGAAAAAGGACAATCTTGACAAGACACAAATGAACAACTACAGGCCGATCTCAAATCTCCCATTTTTAAGTAAGATCATTGAAAAAGCAGTTTCTCAACAGCTCAATTACTTCTTAAAACAGAATAACTGCTACGATGCCTTCCAGTCAGGTTTTAGACAGAACCACAGCACTGAAACCGCTCTGACAAAAGTGTTTAATGACATATGTCTGAATACAGACAGTGGAAAAATGTCAGTCTTAGTTTTACTGGATCTCAGTGCAGCATTTGATACAGTTGACCACAACATATTACTCAAACGACTGGAGAACTGGGCAGGTCTTTCAGGAACTGTACTAAACTGGTTCAAAACATACTTAGAAAACAGGAAATACTTTGTATCAATAGGTAACTTCACATCTGAGCAGACAAGTATCACATGTGGAGTTCCCCAAGGTTCCATCTTGGGACCCCTTCTGTTTAACATTTACATGCTCCCACTGGCACAGATTATAAAGAACAACAAAATAAACTATCACAGCTATGCAGATGACACACAAATATATATCACAATGTCACCAGGAGACCGAGGCCCTGTACAGGCTCTTGGTAAATGCATTGAGGAAATTAATGACTGGTTGTGCCACAATTTTCTCCAGCTAAACAAAAACAAAACTGAGGTAATAGTCTTTGGCGCCAAAGAAAAACGATTACAGGTCACCAGAGAACTTCAATCTATACATCTAAAAACCACAAACCAGGCGAGAAATTTGGGTGTAGTGATGGATGCAGACCTAAACTTAGAAAAACACATTAAGACAATAACAAAATCAGCTTACTATCACCTCAAGAATATATCAAGGATAAAAGATCTGATGTCTCAACAGGACCTGGAAAAACTAGTCCATGCATTCATCTTTAGTAGGCTTGATTACTGTAACAGCATCTTTACAGGTCTACCTAAAAAATCAGTCAGACAAGACAAGACCAAAAAAAGTGGACCACATCAGTCCAGCTCTGAGGTCTTTACACTGGCTGCCTGTCCGTCAGAGGATAGACTTTAAAGTTCTGATGCTGGTCTATAAAGCTCTGAATGGTCTGACCCAGTATGAACCTTCCAGATCCCTCAGGTCATCTGGATCCGGTCTTTTATCAGTTCCCAGAGTCAGAACCAGACACGGAGAAGCTGCATTCAGCTTTTATGCTCCTTATATCTGGAACAAACTCCCAGAAAGCCTCAGATCAGCTGAAACACTCAGTTTATTTAAATCCAGGTTGAAGACTCACCTGTTCTCAGCTGCATTTGAATAAAGCACCAAATCCACACTTTTAAGCTTAAATTTCAAAACTTACATTTAACTACTGATTTTATCTACTGTTCTGATTTTATCTGTTTTGATTTTATATACTGTTTTGTTTGTTTGTTTGTTAATTAGTTAGTTTGTTTGTTTGCTTGTTTTAATCAATTTTAAATCATGCTTTTTATTTGTTTTTGTTTCTAATGTCTCTGTAAAGCACTTTGAATCACCTTGTTGCTGAATTGTGCTATACAAATAAACTTGCCTTGCCTTGCCTAAAACCTGTGCAAAGTATGGCAAGTTACCAATAAGATGTTTTTTTCTAAAGCAAAGATCTGGCTCTTGTCCAAAAGCACGCAATAGTAGCTTTCATTAATAGTTGCTGCTGCTAGCCGATATAATGCCAAGTCTTTTGCCAAAAACATGTCTGCCAGAGCTTCTAGAGATCTGTTGTCTGTCTCTATGTGACCCCCTACACCCCAGCCCCCACCCTCAACCCTCACAATGATAAGTAAAAGAGAATGAAAACTAGGTCTTTGAATGTTACTACCACTTAAGCTAAATTTAACTGACACAAGAATAGCTTTCATCAGTGCTTTGCCAGTAATCTTACCTGCTGGGGCTGATACCGTGAACTTTGGGATCCAACCAGGGTGCATGTGGGCTGGGTTCATTATAAACTAGAGGCTGAGTGCAGTGCAGAGTAAGTGAAGGTACATTGTGGTGAGTGTGAGAAGGCCAAAAGGCTGAGGGGCTGAGGGGAGGACACAGAGATGATGGACTGTCAGTGATGGGTGACCTGGTGTAGCTCAGCATGGAGGGGCTGTAGAAGGTCAAAGGTCCGTGCCCGTGGTTATAGTCATGGTTACTGTCTGTGTATGGAGAGGGAATGCAGATGGTGTGGTTGTCCATGCCCACAGGAGGGCTGTACATAGCAGGCAGAAGTCCTGGGGAGCTCACCCTCTCTGTGGCTTTACTGGAGTCCACCTCCTCAAGCTGAAGGAGGGGTAACGGGTTAGCATCCAGGGCAGGGGAGGAGGTCATGTCAGGGGAATATACTGTATTTGCTGTGAATGAATGATTTGATGCAGGTGGATATTCTATAGCATCTTCTCGAATGGCCGGGTCCTGTAGCAGAGAGGGAAGAAACACTATATTAAAATAATTAACTGCTGCAAATTCTGAGCAAAAACCAATATTTACAATATCGACCATAGCAGATTTTCTTTTTATACCAAGGAATTTATTTTTTCAAATTATGTAGCTCAGAGCTTTTCAGTTCACCATCTTAGAACAAGTCCATATGTTCAGAATGCACTAACTCAGTCCCAGTTCCAAGACATCAAAATTATAGTTTTGCAGTCCAAAACTGACAAGACATAATCATCTAATTTGGCAAAAGGCAGACAACAGTTAACAAGGTGAAAAAGGATGAGAAATAGGGAATGTTTTTAAAATTGAACCTAACTGGAGCGTGACCAAGACAGTAACTAGTCATCTATTTTGTCAACTGCTTTAAGGATCTGTCACCAGGGTGGCTTGCCCACTTACCTAACATGCATGTGCCAGTTTGCAACACAAAGCCTCATTACTGTGAAGCATACAAGCAATGCACTAGAATTATTCCTTAAGAATACTTAATTTGTATAGCACTAAATCACAGTTGCCTCAAAGTGCTTTATATTGTACGGAAAGTACTCTACAATAATACAGAGAAATTCCAACAATCAGACCAGCCCCTGTGAGCAAGCACTTTGGTGACAGTGGGAAGGAAAAACTCAGTTTTAACAAGAAAACACCTCCAACACAACCTGGTTCTGGGAGGGGCAGCCATCTGCTGTGACTGTTTGGGGGTGAGGGGAGGAAAACAGGACAAAAACATGCTGTGAAAAAGAGCCAGGGAGGATAAGGGAGGATTGAGGGTCACCAGATCCAGCCCTAATTATAAGCTTTGCAAAAAGGAAAGTCTTAAAGCCTAATCTTAAAGAGAGGGTGTCTGTCTCCTGAATCCAAGCTGGGAGCTTGCTCTACAGAAGAGTGGCTTGATAGCTGAAGGATCTGCCTCCCATACTACTTTGAAATATCCTAAGAAACACGAGTAAGCCAACAATCTGAGACCTAAGTGCTGTATTGGGGTCATCGTCACTCTAAGACAGGGTGTTATCTGGCTTCGTGGAACGATAAAGCTGGGTATCATCTACATAGCAGTGAAAATACATGCTATGCCTTGTAATTATACTGCCCAGGGTAAGGCTATATAGGAAGGATGTAATGTAAACAGAACTTGTCCTAACACAGAACCCTGTTTAACTCTACAATTAACCAATTAACATATCCACTAAAGGGGTCAACATTCTTGACAACGCTCTTTTACGAAGAGCCATTTTTAGCCATTAGTCCTTTGGACATAAGGCTGAAACTTCTTGTTCTCTTGCTGCTGTTTGTGCCTGTCCCTACTAAAGACAAGTAGCTCAATCAGCTCAGTCACTCTCCAACTTTTCTTTCTCTTCTCAGGGGGTGTCGCTCTTTGTTATGTGGGCGTGTCGCTCCTTGTGGCATCCTCAGCACATGTTCCAGACTTCTTAGGTGCTGTTTTTCAATGTGTTTTAGTGTTTCTTAAAAAATATTAGCTCATTTTAAATGTGATGCCAGAAAAACATTTAGTGGTACTTAAAAAAATGTTTAAGAAACATTTAGCAGCTAATTAGCTTAACTGTGCAATCTGTGTGCAAGAAACAGGGCGCTTCTCTGAGCCTGGTTCTGCTGGAGGTTTCTTCCTGGTAAAAGGGAGTTTTTCCTTGCTCATATGGGGTCATATGGTTGTTGGCATTGTTTGTTGGGGTTTTTTTGTATTATTGCAGGGTCTTTACCTTACAATATAACGTAAGGCAACTGTTACAGTGATTTGGCGTTATAAATAGTATTGAATAGAATTGAACTGAACTGAACTGACTTGAATGAAATTTAAAGTCAATATTGGATGCCTGTAAACTTTGGACCCTCAGTTGCAGTCTTGGTTGCGCCATTAAAAATCACTCCATGGTCTCAGGAACGCTTCCAGAAGTCACTGTCCAATAACACCGTGAACTGTGCTAGCAATAAATGCAGGTTAAAGCGCTATCATGCAAAGTATAAGCCAAATGGGATCGAGAAATTAAACAGTAGCAAACTGTTCTGTGGTCAGACAAATTTTAATTTCTTTATGGGAAATATGGATACTCTGCCTCAATAATTCTGATGTGTTGTTGCCATCAAAATCTAAATCAGCCAATTGTTCTCTTAAAACGTCACATTTTCTCAGTTTAAATTTTTAATGTTCTATTGTAAAATCATTGCATTCTGTTTTTATTTAGATTTCACACAGCACGCTGACAGATGATGCCACAGCTTCATTTACCATTTCAAATAATTTCAGTAACACCCTGTAGCTTTTAGATAAAATAGCATCCCTGGATGAATATACAGGACAAAAATTGGTTTTCAAAGAAATCAATTTCTAATGTAGTCAGCAAAATGTCTTTACATAGTCACACTGAAAACAATGAATAAAAGTAATAAATAGTGTAAGGATGTTAAAAATGTGCAGCTCACCAAAATAAAATGTTTGTGTCTGCACTTCCCTAAAACTCTACAACTGATATTGAATATGCATAGCTAACAAGAACCATGAACAAAACTAAGAAGACAACATTACTATTTCTATAATGAATGCACTGCATCTGAAACCTTAAAGCAGAAGACCACGCTGGTTACCAAACCCACACAGATCACCAAAATTGGAAGAAGATTGGAAAAAGGTTGCCTGGTCTAATTCATTCAGATGACAGGGTCCAAATTTGGCGTAAACTATGCATCAAAGGTTGACACTGAGTTCACTGTACTCAGACATCTCAGTCAAAGCATCTCAACATGAGGGCACTTTTATAATGTGGCAGAAGATGTAGTGGGAGATTCATGGACATGATGGATTTTTAACTGATAAATCTGCAGCAACTCAATGGTTCAGTGATGTCAATCTGGACAAGAATCTCAGCAGAAAGGTTCCAACACCTCAGTGAAGCTAAGAGAGGATCCAGGCCCTTTGGTCTGCTGAGTGCGTTGCTCTCTGGTAATATTAGTCTGCAAACCTGGAGCAGACACTGGGTGCCTGATTGTTGTGTTTGAAAGATAAAAACTAGACACGTTTCATGATTAAGTGAAAAAAATTAGTCTGCTAAAGTTTTACTTTTAACCAAGTAAAGTGCTCACTGGGACTCTAACGCTCTTACATGAGGAACACGAGATTCTGTTTTTTCTCGTTAGCGTGCAAAGAAAACAGTGGTTATCAAAAAAAGATGTTGTGGTGTAATTGGTTTAGATTGCACTACTCTGCCAAAATCACACAATACACAATAAGAAGGCCAAACGGTTACAGTATAATAACTCATACAACTATGATAACTCAAAGCAAAACACCCTGCACTAGTAGTTCAACTGCTATAGCAGTTGAACTACTAGTGCAGGGTGTTTTGCTTTGTTAGCTAACACCAACAACTGACATGTGTTAAATATTCCCACAGACTTTGTTACATGCTGCTTTTACTGAACATGTGTCTCTCTCTCTCTCACACACACACACACACGCGTGAACACACACAGTTTGTGGAGCCCAGTGAAATGATGTAACAGCTTACTTACTGTGCCGAAGGTGAAGAGACGAACCCAGTATTTATTAGCAGTGTGATTAAACTGTGAACATTTGTTCCAGAGACAGAATATAAAAGCACAAAATGATCTGCCTGTTTGACCTCACTTGGCTTGCAAAACTGTGCCAGCAAACTATGCCAGCAAAGCCATCTACTGGTTAATCAGTGCCAGAATCAACAGCTCAGCAGCTGGTATCTCTGCACAGTCAATCGCACACACCACGAATGACAAGTAGAAACATACAGCTGGCAGGTAAGGGGAGTGAGTACATCTAAGTACATTTGGAAACACTTTTTCAAGCCCTACATGCATCATGAAGTCCTAGGTGAGCAAAGAATCTGAAAGTACAGTAGTGCCGTAGCTATGGAGATAGAGAAAAAGCAAAATATGGCAAAATTTAAGAAAAAGCTAAATATAATACAATGAATAACACTTTGTGTTTCAGATCTCTGTGTTCTCTTATGTTTCTGTTTTTAATTTGTTTTAAACGCTGCTCTATTTTCCACTTCGTGGCCACAATCCATGGCCTGGATAGTAAACATAAAGCTACATTTCACTCGCAGTGTCAGCTGAGACCAAAAGTCATAATAACATGCAAATGTATCTTGGACAAAAGGATAAATTATAAAACACAAGAAAAACGTCGGCAGTTCAACGCTGTTACTGTGTACTAGTCAGTCAATGAACAGTCAATGTGTGTATAACGCAGGTCAGGTCAAAGTGGTCTTGAGCAAAAACAATGCACCCTGTATACGAACGTCACCTCTCACCTAATTCCCAGCCTGGGTCCTTCGAGGCCATCACATTCACTTCCATTCACAAAAAGTAAATACGTCCAAGAAATACAGCCTTTGATTTTAACTAGTGGGTTTCACTGAACCCAAGTGGACACCATGAGTTGAAACCTATAGCTCTTAAGTCAGGTAAGATGTCCATACATACAGACATCTGCCTTGCTGCAGGTAGATGGTTAAGATAAACAGAGACAGTAATTATGTATTTTCCATAATATGTTAGCATTATTTATCATTTAGCTTTTACCATCCAATTTTAGAAGTGCATGCAGGGCACTGTAGGTAATGTGTATGATGCTGAACATGATAATCACCTGATCTGACGAGAAGAAGCAAATATCTGCTCATCGCTGACATCAGATCCGAAGACAGCTTACACAGTAACTGAAGCTGCTGTTTTAAGCTTGGTATTTTGGTTCAAATACATTTCATAAATTTTTACTAGCGGTTTAAATCGGGAAATCTCTCTTAGCTGTACTGCCAAGGAGCAGAGATATGAAGCTATCCTATATGGAAAAGATATATATAAATCTTATAAAGTTTGTTTCTGTCTTGTGTGAAACTTGTATGAAAAGCATACAAGAGTAAAAACAGATATAAGATCCCTTGAAAAATTATATAAATGACTTGTATGTTTTGGATACTTACTAAAACAATATATGAAAGTAATGAGAAAGTGGCCACTTTCATGAGTAAATCATATAAGCCTTATATGATTTACTATATGAAGTAGGCCACATCTTAAGCAAGTCTTTTATAAGTTTTTACCATTTCTTTTCCATATGGGATAGAACAGACGATAATGTGTGTTCTCTGACATCAGAATCACAATCAGGAATTTAATTATCCTTAAGGAAATTATGTAGGGATATGTTGCTAGCAGAGATAGGCAGTAACGTGTTACTGTAATCCGATTACTTTTTTCAAGTAATGAGTAAAGTAAGGGATTACTATTGCAAAAAAGTAATTCGATTACTGTTACTTTCCCGTAAGCACGCTGCGTTACTGCGTTACTAAACCGTGATTTTGTGAGTGTCTCATGACAATGACGTATGAGCTGCCAACGTCCGTGGCAGCAACAGATGTGTGCAGACCAATAATGGATAATATGGAGTGTGGGAGAGAGTACAACCATGCAGCGTTTAAAGCGTGGAGGTACTGAACTGACATTACTTTGAGTTTGATTCTGTAAAAAGTGACAAAAACATTAGTGTGCGCTGTACACTCACACACTGTGTGGGAAGAAAACTTCTTTCTACAGCAAAAAATTGAACTTCAAACCTAGCACGCCGGCACGGGAATGTGAAACTCACAGAGAAACCCACAGATCCCCCAACTGACATGACTGCTGCGGCACTGGGCAAACCTCTGCCGGCCCCACTCCTGCTAAACAGGTGACAACAGATTTAAGAGGAACAGGACCTAGTGCAGCTGAATCTTTGATTTTATTTATCCTTTGCTGTGTTTTCATTGCATCTATTTGAAAGAGTGAGTGTAAACACAAAAATTATTACATTTTATATGCTGGAATATGCAGAAAATAGGTTTAAATGTTAAACAAATTTCTTCAAGTCAAAGACTGTTGCATATAATTAAATTTTTGCTTGATGCAATGTGCATCAAGTTTAAAGATTAAAACTAATAAAACAAGCTTTAAATTTATTCAGTTTTATATGATGGATTATGCATAAAAAAATAGAATTGGGCTGAAAGGTCTGTTGCTTTATGTATTCAGGTTGTGTACCATGTTTTTAAAAAATAAGTAACTAATTACTTTTGAAAATAAGTAATCACTAAAGTACTTACTTTCTTGGAAAAGTAATCAGTAATTAGTAACTAATACCTTTTTCAAGTAAATTGACCAACACTGGTTGTCAGGAGTGGAATGTACATGACATGTACATCTGGCAACTTTTTGCTAACACGGTGCTAAAACGTATTAGTCCTACGTGCTTTAGTGGGCTCGCTACTGAGTTCTTCTGCCCACTAGTGACCCAGAAATGACTTGAGTGTTGCTGTTGGGACTGCAGCTGGGTCATCTGCCGTCTGTCAACTGCAACTCCTCCTATGACTTAACTGCCTTGGAGGACAAACTCAGCATTGTAGGCAGTGTTGGGGAGTAACGGAATACATGTACCGCCGTTACGTATTTAGAATACAAAATATGAGTAACTGTATTCCGTTACAGTTACCGTTTAAAAAGGTGGTATTCAGAATACAGTTACTTTGTTGAAATAAATGGATTACACGGCGGTATTTTCCTGTTTCATATTGTCGCGGGTCAGGACTGTTTGGGTTTTGTTTGACAGCTACGTTCTGTCGTTCCAGGCGGCAGCGTTACGGTTGCCATGGTTACAGGGCGACGCTCTCTCTCTCTCTGCGACTGTGTGTTTCCTGGGTGAGAGAGCGCCTTTTCGTTGTTGTTGTTGTGCTAAGCTAACAGGCAGAATGCTACAAGCATAGCTCTAAAGAATGTAGCATCATGTTCAGTGTAGTCCGTGTTGCAGGGAGAATGGACTGCCATACACGTTATGTGTCTGTGAGCGCGAGGAGGGAGAAAAAGGGGAGTGGAAAGGTACGAGTTGTCGTTGAGGAAAAACGGGAGCTGGAAGCATGTAAATATAATAATAACCACTTCAGCCAAGAAGAGTGCCTGACGAGCCCAGTTGTAAGTAAGCTATTAAGACTCGACTGTACACCGTGTTCGTGTTTTCCTCCGAAAACAATAAGTTCCGTTGGAGCAGCCTTTCAACGCCTCTCTCTGTCTCTCACAAGAAAAATTGACCCACACAACAAAGTAAAGCTATTTTTCGGCTACGAGCCAACAGGGACCCCGCCATATTAGTCAGAGGTCCCTTTACTACGGTTCGGAGTCTCGGACCTTCAGTAACAGTAATAAATCACACAGCAATAGTACATTCACGTTGTTGTAAAAAGCATGATAATATATTAAGTAATCCAAAGTATTCAGAATACGTTACTCTCATTGAGTAACGTAACGGAATACGTTACAGAATACATTTTGGGGCATGTATTCTGTATTCTGTAACGGAATACATTTTAAAAGTAACCTTCCCAACACTGATTGTAGGACATGTTTGCTGTTATAAAGTGATTTCGCGTTTTAGCACAAATATCCGCACATATTTTCACCAACAACAAGCAGCTTGATAGCACGTGCAGTACTTAAAGAACGTTTGGAGCTACTTGCAAGGAATTTTGAGAATTCTTTTGTTAGATTTGTAGTGCAGTTTACTCATATGCATAATTAAAGCGTTATTGCATCCATGAAATACGACTTGCAAGAGCTAAGCACGACCAGATCAAAGTTTATGGAACAAGCAGCAGGAATGGAAAAGAAAATTAAACTGCTACAGAGACCAAACAGAAGATTCACAATTATAGTAAAGCTAACTGCCAACACTCTGCCTGACATTTCACATCCGAATATTTTCTCAGACTTGCCAAATTTAAACACACTGCTGTGCTCTAATTGATTGCAACTCTTCAGTATTTCTCAAAAAAAAAAAAAGCCAAACGTTCTAACTAAATGACTTCACACTTAATTTAAAAGACATAAAAAAAGAGTATAAACAACTCACTTAATTCCTAGAGCTGTGTGGCTCAACACTCAGGCTTTTACTATGAATAAAGCTCTTCTGTCAGAATGTTGTGCTCAAGTTTGAGCTTTGGACACACTGGTGCTCATGGCAGCTTTCCATGGTAAACCACCAGTCAGGCAACAAGGGGTCAAAGGACCCAGTGTTTAATTCCACTGCTTCCTTTCATTTACATATAATCAAGAACCGGGCTATTGAACAATCAGGACGGCTTTGCCTTTATTTTGCTCAAATTTTCATAAAAAGCTAAAATTGTTAAAACGTTTTAGTCTTTTAAGAAGATGCTACTAAAACAGAAAAAAAGAGAAAACATTAAGTACCATAATTTTTTATCAGTCAAGTAATGAAGGCATTTTTTTAACATCTAGACCCTGTAGGACCAAACTTTAAGGGAAAAACACAGACTAAAAAAGATCTTTTTTAGTTAAGTGGTTACTCATAATATCAGTTGTTTTGGGTAGTAAAAACAGAAAATAAAAAGCATGATGTAGAAGTCTATATTCACCTAAATGGGCATCTTTTATTTAATACATGCGCATACGGCCGCTTGGTTAGAAACAACCTTTGACAAAACCAAAGTTTCCTTAATGCAAAATGAAAGAGGCAGAGGACAGTGACACCATGCATCGTCCGGTGGACTTAAAAGTTTGGGAGTGTGTCGCTGCTTCAAGCTTATTGTCACTGCATAACCAGCCAGTAAATCACTTACATACCGTCTAAACTTTAAAGAGAAAAAATTCCCGAGTTAAAATAAACTTTTATAAATAAATACCCAACTAAATGTTGCATATGGCACAGTTCATTCTAAAGCTCAATACTGGACTTCATTTTTGAAAAGGTGCAGCATGTAACCCAAACTCATCTACCAGCCTCCAAAAGTGGCCAAAGTCAGTTTTTCCCCACCAACAAAAACATCTTTGTCGCAGAATCAAAAACCCCAAACACTTCTGACAATCTGTGAAAAGTAGGGGGTGCATTGCTGTTATACTTTAAACAAAAAAATCATGAGACCTAACCACAAATGGATTAAACTATGTCCTTCTTTAAGGCAGTATATTAAAAACTTGTTTATTCCTCTTGTATAAAGAAGCTCCCCCTGTCAGAAAAAGGCTCCCAGCCAGTAACACATACCGGAACACAAAGGCTCCCGGCAAAACTATTAGGCAGCCTCTATCCCTCCATTCTCTCAATCCCACAAAGCCGACAAGGAGCTGCTGGAGGACGAGAGGCCCGCCGAATTAAAGAGGTTGACAGATTACATGCATGCAGGAGTAGCAGGAGGAAGCTTCTGCTTCTGGTTTGCAGAGAAGTCGAAACAGAGAGACTACGGCAGAACGGACAGACTGATTACAGTGTCGGGATGTGGAGTCATTTTAGCTGTCACCTGTCACTGCTGCCACTCCATCTACCTGCCAGATGGGTTTGGCCCATTTACTGTAGCAGAGTTCTCCAGAGAAATATGCCACGTCCTGTGAAAGGCATTCCATTTTTCTTCTGAACCTTTTAAGCATCAAATTTAAGTGTAAAAGTAGCAAAAAAACCTCAGGGATGGTGTTAAATCAGTTAACACCAAGTGCTAAAATTTGATACGTGAGTATGTGCTCATTTCAGAGACGTGCTTCATAGCTTAACTCGTGATTCTAAAGTGCCTGTAGTTAAACCTGTGACAAACTGAGGACCTGTCCAGGGTGTACCCTGGGATAGACTCCAGCCTCACCACGACCCGGAATGGGATAAGTGGAGGGAAATGGGAAATTGATGAACGGATTAGTACTGCGAGTACTAAGGTACAAAGCTGGGACAACTGGCCCATCTATGCTTACTGTGTCACAAGTCAGTAGTACATGACTAGACCTATAGGCTACATTTTTCTACTTAGACACAACGATGAGAGAGGATTTCACACCTGCTGTCCCAGCAAGGTTTATTTGCCAAAAACAGAAACAAGCAGGGGTAAAGAAAGTTGAGGATGATAGGAGCTGTTGCTGAACTCTCTGTAATTCTTTTGTTGTTGTTATTTTCATTAATTATTAGCCTCAAATAAATGTGAAGCCCAAGAGCAGGAAAATAATTAAAAGTGGTGCAAAAAGTGGTGTTAAGTCTTTATAGCTAATTGCACCTTTATGTTTTTTCCTACTGTTATAAATTAATTATAAAAATTCTTATATCAAATAATTATCCACGATAACTTTGTCAGTGAGTTTACCACTTCCTGGAACTGCTAGCTATATTCACTGACCAATTATGTGACTTATTTCTGACTGTACCTTCAGTCAGACCATAAACAGACTCATCAGGAAAGGACTTGGTCATTAGGTGGTTGCCAACATCTGGTGGCCTTAAGACGCAGGTTAAAGTATTCCTGCAGTGGCCTAATTTTTCCAACCAGGAAGCTACATCCATCATTTTTGTCTATGAATCAGACAGTCAAAATAAATAACTGATCCTCTAATATTTATATTTTGTTGTTGCTTCCAGTGCCAACTGTTCTCTCTAAATATAAGCCCAGAACATCAAGCATCATTTGGGCTCAAGGGAGAATTGCTACACAACTAAAAAATTGTCCTGATCACAAGAAGAGAAGCTGGTGAAGCTGCTGGTTCCTGACCATCTAGAGGTGATCTTTTTTTTTTCATTCATTTTTCATTCATTTATTTGTTCATTTCCAGGCACAACAAATACCTATATTGAACATAAAATGCACAAAACAAAAAACAAAAATTGCCTGAAAAAGGAGTGGGACGAAGAAAACTTATTAAATCCCACCCCTATACTCACTCATCAACAAAAAAACAAAAAACAAATCTTGACCTATTACTTGCCTAATAGGTTACCACCATGGAGTTTTTTGCCTAACAGAGAACAGTATCAAAATGCAGTACTGGGAAAGAGTATATAGATTTTAAGATAACGTACAGTATTGTGCCTTCAGCCAGCCCTCAAGGCTTGCACACTTTTTAGTCAAAATAGGAAATTTATTGAAATGTGACATACATAGAAATACAGCATATACGGCAAAAACAGACTTTGTGCAATTCTAACAGGCTTGAAAGTTAACATGTGGTATGATCACCTTTATTCTTCAACACAGCCTGAACCTTGGAGGAGCTTTCTTGACATTTCTTTAAGAAGTCTTCAGGAATAGTTCTCCAGGCTTCTTTAAGAACATTCCAAAGCTCTTCCTTGGATTTTTATTGCTGTCTGTTTTCTTTCAAGATGATCATAAACTGCTTTGATAACATTGAGGTCTGAGCTCTGAGGAGGCCTAGTCCCTGGCTGAGAGTGTTCAGTTGTGTGTTTTTCTATCCTGGTTTACTTATATTGTATTGGGAGTGTTTGAAATCATTGTCAAGCAGAAAAATGGAGTAGTTGACAATGAGATACTTTCCAAATGGTATTGTATGTCGAATCTGTGCTTTTGACTGTACTTTGTTGCATTCGCAGGTTCATATTCCCATCAGTCCGTAAATTCCATCAGGATCTCCAACACAACTAAAATCCAGCACCAAACCATGACACAGCCTACATCATGTTTTATAGATGACTACACTCAGTGACCTCTCTTGACCTCCACGGCGAGACAATCTGAGCAAAAACTTCAAAGTTCTGTTGCAAACGTTTGTTAGTCCAGTTCCCTTCCTTAAGAATGGCCTTCCATTGAGACAAGTTTTGATGAGACTTTGTAGAACAGTAGAAGGATCAACTGAAGGACCTGATGTATACTAGTGGTGCAACGGATCACGAATGATCCGTAATCCGAACCGATCCCACTCCACGGTTCGGCACGCACGTGATCCGAAGATTCGAAAAAGGAAAAAAAGTATGTGTATGGTGCGTGGTGGGTCTGTCAAGGGATAGTTATGGCCAGCACTAGCAGTCCAAGTGGAGGAGCAGAGGAATTTGCAGTATTTAAGCAGCCCTTTGCTGCCCAGTCCGACCGGGCTAAAGCTATTACAAAAGCTACTGGGGTGTTTAGCTGCAGACGGGAGGCCGTATTCCGTTGTGCAAAACAAGGGGTTTAAACTATGATGAACGTGCTTGAGACACGCTATGATATCCCGCAAGATCGTTCCAAGCATGTATGAGCAGGAAAAGTTTAAAGTTATGGCTGAACTGTCCCAGGCATCTTCTGTTGCTCAACTACAAATGGGCAGACCTCCAGGGAAACGGAAAGCTACGTGACCGTGACCGCTCATTATATCACAGCGGAGTGGTAGATACAAAGCCCTGTAGTGCTCTATATTTTACCTTAATTTGTTTTTATATAATTGCGTGGAATGAGTCTTGAGTTGAGTATACCATAAGCAATTATAGTTGAGTTTTTTAAAAGGCAAAAATACTTAAATAAGTATTTAAATAATGTTAAAATTTTGTCTTTTTTGTCTTTTTTTTTGCTGATCCGAAAATTGATCCGATCCATGACTTAAAACCGTGATCCGAACCACGAGATTTTTGAGCCGTTGCACCACTAATGTATACCATAAGCAATTATTAAATTCAGGCTTTCTTCCATAGTTTGCCTTTTGTCCTGTCTCTCTGCCCCTAATTCCACTGCAATAAGCCTAGGCTGCTGGGTTTCCCATGACGCAATGAACCATTCTTCTTCATGCTCCTCTTTTCACTCTCTATGTGTTTATACTCCCGTCTGCATTTAATCATTAGCTATTATTAATCTCTGGCTCTCTTCCGCAGTGTGTCTATTGTCCTGTTTCCTCCTCCCCAACCAGTCGTGGCTGCTCCTCCACGAGCCTGGTTTTGCAAGAGGTTGAGGTGACTGTTGTAATTTTGTGCTGTATAAAAAAAAATAAATTGAAAATTGAATTGAAGTGAAGTGAACCTTGTGGCAACAGTTGTGACTGCTATATAAATAAAATTGAATTGAGTTGAATTAAAGAGAATTCTTTTTTTCTTAAGGACATGAACTTCAGACACTATTCGTCTGCAGTAGATACAGTGCCTTGAAAAAGTATTCATAACCCTTAAACTTTTCCACATTTTGTCCTGTTAAAACTACAAACTTAAATGTTATTGTAAATTTATATGACAGACCAACACAAAGTAGTGCATACTGTAATTGTAAAGTGGAAGTGATGTCATACATGGTGCTCAAAATTCGTTATAAATGAAAGTCTGAAAAGTGTGAAGTAGGTTTGTATTCAGTCCTCCTGAGTCAAAACCATACCAAACCACCTGTCACTGCAGTTACCATGGGCATGTCTCTACCAGCTTTGCACATTCAGACTTCAATTTTTGCCCATTCTTCTATGAACAATAGCTTCAGTTCAGTCAGATTGGATGGAGGGCGTTTATGAACACCAATTTAAAAGGCTTGCCACAGATTCTTTTGCATTTTAACAGGGACATGTGAGTATACTGTGATTAAGGGGAACCCCCATCACAGTCTCAAGTCTTTTGCAGCCTCTAGCATGACTTCTTACAGGATTGACCTGTATTTAGCACCATCCATCTTCCCATCAACTCTGACCAGCTACCCTGTTCCTGTTGAAAAAAGGCACCACTGCATCATGACGCTACCACCACCATGCTTCACAGTGGGAATGATGCATTCAACCTGCCATTCTTCCATAAAAGCCAGATTTGTGGAGTACATAAGTAATAGTTGACTAGGTTCTCCCAGTTGAGCTCAAAATCACCTCGTTTGTAGAAAGATTCCATTTGATGCCAGTCAAACTCTGTTATATATCTAAAAATAGAAATGAGAATAAATTATACGGTTTTATTGCTGGCTGGTAGCAAAAGACTGCAAAAGATACAGTTTTGAATTGGCTCCTTGCTAAGCCATCTATTATGTGTACACACAATGCTGGTTCATCCCTTGAGACAAGTGCCTTTCATGATTATTCCTCTAAAAATAGTCAACTACAAGGATTGGCCTGTAAATGAGTGGAAAAGCAGCCAATGCCCAAAGAAAAACTTGAAAGACCTTCAGAAAGCCTGGAGAACTACAGCTCAAAACCACTTTTTTTGTTTTAAATCTCAAGTCTGGTTCCTTGGGAGCAAAAAATAGAGAAATTACATGTGGGTCAAGACTTTTGCACAGCACTCTACACTTTGACATACATTTTAAACTGATTTACAGAGGCCACGATGACAGACAGAAGTTATTTTCCATGAGCAAGAACTGAGTCTGGTAACCTATCAAAGGTATTCACTGCGGTATCATTTTACAACTTTAGTTTCTGACGGGTCTTCACAAAATTGAGAAATAAAGGTCACTAGAGGCAAAATTTGGTTAAGAAAGTAACTAAGTAGATGAATAAGATCTAGTGAGAGCAGAGTGGGCAATCTGCATAATTTGGCTAATTTGAACATGTAAAATAATTTACAAATGTGCATTTCCTAACCTGAGCAAACAGTGATCATTTAATGCAAAAATGTTTAATATCAACCTAACAAATATAATCTTTTTCACTTTAAAAATGTAGTACGTGTGAACGAAACCCCTGATATGCATGGATCATGTCACATGTGCACACAGGGTATCGGTAATTGTAAGCTGAATTCAAAAGCTACCAGAAAACATCTAAGAGACCGGTGCATTCATGCATTACCCTAAATGACACTGACTTGTTTTTTTTAAATAAAGTGGTTAGCTCATGGCCTCTTGATTAAAAAGCAAAGAGAAAATCAACAAACTATCTATAGTATTCAGTTTGTGTTAACATATGATTATGGTTACATGATTTTAAACAAGTTTATCTGCTAATAGTGGACAAGTTATCCTGTTAACATGTACAAGTTTATCTGCTAAGCAAACAAGCAGGCGGTACACAGAAAAAATAGGGCTATCCTGGTGGATCATCTTCTGAAGTAAGTATATGCTAACTAGCCTCTTTGAAAAAATATATATATTTACATGGTAGAGGACAGTTATGTTATGTTTTGTGTAAAAGTATTTGCGTTTTTGTTACACAAATTGTAATACAACACAAAGAAAACTCAAGTAAATACACACCTGACTCTATATGGAAAAGTAACTGATTCCTAAACTGGATAACTGGTTTATCCAGGAGCAATCACCTGATTTGTGGAGCAGAAATAACTTAAAAACTAACACATCAAAGAAGCCCCACTCACCTGCTGGCCACATCTTTTACTTGAAAGGGGCAGCCAATCAGGAGAAAGCTGGCATAAAAGGGAAAGGAATGAAATAGCATTGAGAGGGCTACATCAGTGCTCATCTTAATTACATGAGGATTATTTGCAGTTGTGAATCATGCAAAACTAGTAGAATCAAATAATAAAAATATAGAAAATCAGAAATGAGCGCAATAGGGCCCCTTTCACTTTAACATTGTGTCCACTGTATAGTCTTTAGAGGCAACACAAAAGAATATAAATGGCAGCTGTTTAACTGTATAAACTAAAAGATATTTCTGAACATCAGGGTCACTGATCTCCAACGTAATGGATAGTCAAAGTAGCTAAGGACGCTGATAATTGGCTGGAAATGTAAGATAATTTTAGAGTAAGCAAACACTGTGAAGTTCTCTTTTTAATTAAGCAAAACTGCACATGGATGTATCCATGTGATTAAAATATCTGAGATAACATTACCAATAACTTTTCTGATTACATTTACCACACAAATTCAACGGAAATCATTACAAATGTGAACTGTGAAAATAATGCAGCACTCAGCAGCACCAGTAACAGCACAATAAGTCATAAACGCACGCACCAGT